AATCTTAGTTAATATTAGATTTAAATAAAATTTATCAATCGAGCGTAAAATTGTTCGTAGTTAATTTTTCTATGTACCGAAAAAAGATTTCCCGATAAAAAGAGGATGTAAGGGTAAAAAGAGTAAGAATATCTTAAATTACTATTGTGTAATTATTTATTTAGAAAATTTTATGGTGAAAATTAATTTATCAGATATTTGATAATTTTAAGAATTTTTTTAACAAATAAATTGTGGCAAAAAAAAATAAAAAAAAAAAAAATTGACACGTAGAAATTTTTAAAAATAAAAAATGCAATTTTTCAAAAACAATTTTTTGGGACAAATTTATTTGTTAAAAAAACTGAAAAATAATTAAATGACTGCTAACTTTAATGTCATATTTTATGTTTCATGTTTGCTGGATTTTATATTGCCCTTTGCTCCACATTAGCTTCTCCAATGAACCTGATTAAATAAATGTGTAAATTAAATTAAAACACAAAATTTGATATATCAAATTAAATACAAGGTTTTTTAATTATTGAAACTTGTATTTAACCGAATTTTAATGATTATTAAATTAGTAGATGGTAATTACAATAACCTTGATATTGTTTCACTTAATATACAGTATTATCCGTGTACTGGAATGTCTAAAGTTTGTATTTTTTATTATATGTAAATATGTGTATATATTTATAAAGATAAACGTTGAATCGCGACCGCGTTGATAACGTGATTTTTATAATTTTAAGTGTCGAAAAATTTTAAATCGGTAATTTTTATAATACAAAATTAATGGAAGAAAAAAAGATAATTTGGATTTGCTAAAATTGAAGAAACTTTATAAAGAAGAAATAAAATTTAAAAAGTCACAATATTATTTTAGCAGCCGCGATTTTATATAAGTTTATCTTTATAAGTAAAAATTTTTCTTTATAATTGATTTTTAAAAATAAATTGAATTTTAAAAAATACTCTTCCTTACTGCGCCTGTACATGTACATCTGACGAACGAAAACATTAATAAAGTTACATAAAAATCGCTGTTAAAAACAAAATTACTTTCATAAAATAAAATTTTTTTTAAACTGCAAAAATTGCCGTTAATAAGTGATGTATGTTTAGTGGAATTAGACTAGCTCGATAAAAGTAGTGATTTGTTAGAAGTTTAGTAAATGAAAATTAAATTAGCAGATATTTGATAGTTTAAAAATTTTTAGCAACAAATAGATTATGGCCAAACAAAATTAAAAAAAAAATTGACATGTAAAAATTTTAAAAAATTATAAATGCAATTTTTTGAAAATAATTTTTCCGAACAAATTTATTTGTTAAACAAAATTTACTAATTGTCAAGTGACAGCTTAATTTAATTTCATGTTTAGTATCATAGAAAGCTGAAGATTAAATGGTGGATTATTTTTTGCTCTGTCAGAAGTCGAATTTTATAAAAAATTATAATGAAACTGATGTTGATAGACATCTAATAATTTTTTAGATTTTTCCAACAATTAATTATTTCCAAGATTTTTCCAACAATAAATTATTGTAATAAAAGGTAAGGAATTTCATAAAAATTAAATTAGCCGACATCTAAAAATTTTTATAATTTATTTTATTGAAAAATTATTTAAAAAAATTTCACATGTAGAAAATTTGAAAAATTATACGTTCAATTTTTTTTTGATATTTTTTTACTTGCAATTTAATTGTTGAAAAAAAATACAAAAATTTTTTAACGTCGGCTAACTTTAGTATCAGAAATTTAAAAAGTTATAAGCGAAAATTATTTAAAACATTTTTTTTAACAATAATAAATTTTTGGAAAAATTGTCAGATGTCTTCTAATTTCAGTGTCACAAAATTATACGTCATTTATTAAAAGTAAAGTTCTCAAAACTCTAGCGCTCATTGTCCTCGAAGGAAGAAGACTAATTTCAGCCTACTTCAACAATACTCTTCAAATTTAGATGATACTGAAATTGACAGTCACAATAATTATTTAGATTTTTATAAAAATTAAAATATAATGAAAAAAATTCCACTTGTAAAAAATAAAAAAAAATTACAAGTGCGAATTTTTAAAAATATTTATGACAGACATTAGAAATTTTTTTAGAATTTCATAGCAATAAAATTATTATGAAAAAAAAATTTAATCAAATTTCCACATGTGAAAATTAAAAAAAATCTTTAGAAGCATTTTTTTACTGTAATTGATTTGTTATAAAAATTAAAAAAAATTGACAGTTCTCAGCGAACTTCAGTATCATAAATATTTTTTTATTTTTATTTGATTTGTTATAAAAATTCCAAAAAACTGTCAGATTACTGATTTCAGTTGGTATCATAAATTTAGACAATTCATCACTGAAAATATACAAATTTTTATGTAAAAATTTTTCCTAGTTCAATGATACATTTTAGTACAACAGTTTATTATTACAGATTACAGCTGGTAACATCACCTAATATTTTACGATGTAAATTAATATTATGTTAGTCATAGGTGTAGTTAAACGACAATGATTATGAGATTATAAGTATTTATCAACGAATTAAAATTACTGGTGAAAAAAATATTTCAGATAAAAAATGAGTCAAAATACATATTTGTCTTTATTTTTTAAAATAATTAAAATGCTCATCAAAAATATATAATTGACTTAAAATAAAAGTACTGGATTATTGACAATAAAATCCATCAGTCATGAAGCTATTTGGAAGAACAGAAGCGAGATCTATTTCCCCAGAGCAAGCTAATATTTCACTAGCTTCATTAGACGCCGAATTTACTTTAAGTTTCAGGTAATACTTTTTATCAAACCAAGTATGTGAGGTATCAAAAGAGAAGTAATAAGCCCTGTCAACCTCCATAAGAGAAACTGAATCAGCTTTTTCGATTTGCTGTCCTATTATTGTCAGAGCAGTTTCTATGGCTTTGTCAATCAATGAATCGTTGTTAGCATTTTTGAGTTCCCAGCATTTCACGATATTGTTTCCAAACTGATTAGTCGTTGGCACATAATACAATTGAATTGTGCAGAGTTTTGAAGACCCCGTCGTATTTTGCACAGAAGTCTCTCCAATTATTGTCTTGATAAAATATCTAAGACCACCTGACAAGTCAAGAGTTTCGATATAAGAAGCGGATACAATTGCTTCTACAATCGCCAATTTTGTAGAATTTTTTTGGACTAATGACGGCAGAGCAGTATCAATTATAGTCTTCGGTATAGAATCCTTTACAGAGATACGTCGCCAGACTGGTTCAGATAAGTATTCCAGATCCGAAGCGATAGAAGTTGTAATTATCATTTTAAGTAAGAAACTCAATATAAATGTTGATAGCTTCATATTAAGATATATAGTCTTCAATTTTACACTTGATAAAATAAACGTTGTTGTAAATTAACAAAACTGTGAATTTCTGAGGCTGGAGTTTTACTATTTATATTAGTGTCACTGTTTACGTAAGATATACAATATTATCTATTGTGACGTTATTTTTTTGATAGGGATCTATGTTGTGAACGTCACAGGGCACAGTCCTATAAAGCTATCTTTTCTTGCCTCTAGTGATAACTCAAAATTATTCTCTTTGGTTTGAGTTAATAACTAATTAAATTGTGATAATACAGTGGTATTATTATAATTACGGTTATACTATGTAACAAGTATTTCGACGGAAAATTGATGTGGGTACTCAAATGAAAGGTCTCGATGAGTGTAACTCCAGGATGAGCTTATATCCCGAAAAATTTCAATAATTAAGAAATGGCTGTGTGTTTTGTCTACTGATGATATTTTAAACGATATAAGCTTATCCTGACATTACGCTCATCGAGACCTTTCATTTGAGTACCCACACGGATTTTTTTAATATATTTTATATATATATATGATATTTCTCATATTTGTGAAATATATAAAATATATGAAAAAAAGTCGTGTGGGTACTCAAATGAAACGTCTCGATGAGCGTTACATCAAAATGAGCTTATATCCCGAAAAATTTCAATAACTAAGGAACGGCTGTGTATTTTGTCTACTGATGATATTTTAAACGATATAAGCTCATCCTGACATTACGCTCATCGAGACCTTTCACTTGAGTACCCACACGACTTTTTTCATATATTTTATATATTTCACAAAAATGAAAAATATCATATGTATACCCACATGCATTTTGATATATTTTTTATATATATAATATATATAAATATATGAAAAATTGATGTGGGTACTCAAATGAAAGGTCTCGATGAGTGTAACCTCAGGATGAGCTTATATCGATTAAAATGTCAATATTTCACAAGATAACAGGTCATTTTTTAATTATGTATCTAAAGATAGAGCATTTTCGAATGCAGCCAAAATACTTATCATCAAAAATTGATTATCGGTGAAATTGATATGAAACCTTGAAAAGGCACAAATTTAAGTCAAGACCTTTGCAATGACACTAAATTTCACTTAAAAAACCGATTTTATCGTATAACTAGCCTGGACACAAAATTTTTTTTATTCTCTTTATAATATCGATTAAATGTGAAAAATAATGCTCACCAGAATCTAGAGAAAAAAATTGTTAATATTTAATACTAATTGAATTAAAAAATTATTAGTTAATCTGCAAAAGTTTTACCAAATATTTTATAGTATTAAAATTAAAAGACATCTGACGATTTTTTAGTTTTACTTAACTAGTAAATTATTTAAAAATAAATATCTACATTCAAAGTTTTTCTAAAATTTTTAAATGTAAATTTTGTATTATTTACTTGCTAAAATTTTAAAAAATTGTCAGACGTTAATTTAAGTGTTTACTATAATTTTATATACTTCATAAATCAATCTCATTACTTATACTAAGTATTCATACTTATTTTTAAAAAATAAATAAATATTAAATCTGAAACAAAAATAAATAGAAAAGATTATTAGATTTCTTAATTTAAGTGTTTAATTAAAAAAAATATAGTCAACAAAATTTTAGATACAGAAACACCTTAAAACATATCGTCATGACCTAGGTCAGGTATGTATGATAAACCTCTCTCCTTCAACGCTTTATTCATTAAACGTTCTTGATCTTGTTTTAAATCTTGTTCTTTTCTCTGTGCATCCAAAATGTCGTCAACAGATACTTCAGACAGTGGCAAAACTCTTTCTTTATCCCTGTCCTGATAAACAAATAAAAATATATTTATTTTTATATTAATAATTAATTAATTTGTTACTGCAAGTAAATTAAATAAAGTTAATGGTTTAAACATACGATTTCGCCTAAAAGCACAACATTTTCTCCACGGACAATAAATACTCCACGAGGAATGTCTCCGTATTCTTTGCCGACGTGAATTCTTTCAATAGTTCGATGTAAAACGAGATTTGCAAATTGATCGACACTTCGCAAGTATCCAATCAATGTTCTTCCATCTCGTAATAATACCATCAGTTTTTCTGTATAAAATAAATGGAAAGTAATTATTAATTTACAATTCCACAAATCAGCTGATATTAAAAAATTGACAATTTTTTATTTTAATTATTATTAAAAAAATTGCACTAGTAGTTTTTTAAATTTTCTACGTGTAAAATTTTTATTTGTAATAATTTTTTTAATTAAAAAAAATCATAAAATTTGTCAAATTTTTGATAATTTTATTTACGTTAAATATAAAAATAATTTGAATAAAAAAAATTATATTTTTTAATTTTTAGGATTTTTAAGACAAAAAAATATTTATGAAAATAAGCACTTATAATTTTTACAAATTTCTACATTTAAAAAATTGTCAGCTGAAAGCTCATTTCAATATTATTATTAAAAAAAATGAAAATTAATTTAGCAGATATTTTATAGTTTTAAGAATTTTTTTAACTAATAAATGGGCTGGCTCACTGTAAAAAGTCGTCGTATTTACTATCTGTCATGCTATTTTTATAAATTGTTAGATATAGGAAAACCTTGTTATTTGCGTGAACTATTCATAGAGGATTCTAATTTACGAAGATCTGAAAGACTTGCAGCGAAAAGAAATAATATTAGTTTCGTAATGCCTTTTTTTTTCGACCCACAATATGAATCGCAATTTATTGTAACTGCTATTCGATTGTGGGAGGAATTGCCAGCAACCATAATAGAGTCAACTAGTCTAGAGAGCTTTAAAAATAAAATATTTGATCATTTATTTAACCTGGATATTTAATTATAGTTGTTGTTTATTGTTTTTATTAGCTAAATCGATAAATTCTCTGTCATATTTCTTAATATCCGCAAAATCAAAAATCAAAATTGTTGTAATTTTTTTTTTTTTAATATTCTTGTTATTTATAAATTATATTATTCTTCTTTTGTAAATTTAATTTAACTAGTTTTAATTATACTAAATTTATTTTTAATTATATTTGTATACATTAAGAATTTCTTGTAATCTTCTTGTATATATATGTAAAAATTGCCATCTGGTACTAACTTTGGCATAAATAAAGTATTCTATTCTATTCTATAAATTATACAAAAAAAAAAAAATTAGAAAAAAAATTGAGCCGTAGAAATTTCAGAAAATGAAAAATACAGTTTTTTAAAAATAATTTTTTCAATGGAAATTAAATTAGCCGACATCTAATAATTTTTGTAATTTATTTTATTGAAAAATTATTAAAATACAATTAAAAAAAAAAAAATTCAAGTACAAAAAATTTAAAAAATTATACGTGCAATTTTTTAAAAATATTTTTTAGCTCTAATTTAATTAATAAAAAAAAGTCAAAAATTGTTGTCAGCTAATTTTAGTATCTTATTTTTTGGAAAGAATTTTTATGTTAAAAAAAAAATTAAAAAATGGTCAAAACTGTTAACTTTATTGATGAAAATTAAGTTAGCCGACATTTAAAAATTTTTAAGATTTTTTTTCATTAAAAAAAAATTTCCATTTGTAAAAAATTTGAAAAACTGTAAGTGCAATTTTAAAAAAATATTTTTTCGTTCTTATTTAATTATTAAAAAATTAAAAACGTCGGCTAACTTTAGTATTATACTTTAATGTCATTAAAAAAAACATACTATCAAGCTCATCTAGGAGTGACGCTGTTCCAGGTACGATATCCATTGTTATTAATTATTCTTCACTTGTCTTATCTAAAAAAAAAAATTAATAATTAATTAATTGATATTTATATTTTTTTGTGAAATAAAAATAATGAATAGGGAAAAATAAACAATAGATAAGGTTATGTTTTTTACAACAAAGTAATAATTTAATACCTAGTTTATTGATTGTAGAAAATTATTTCTGCTTTCAATTAATATTTAAATCTTTTTAATATTTAATTTTTATATTGCCGTGAAAAACTTATAATAATTATATATTTATAGTATTCTGCCAAACACTCGTCTTAATACTTTTTTATTAAATAAGAATAGTGATGTAAATAGTGCCCTCTGCTGTTAGGTTTGAAAAATAAAATTTACGCGGGAATAAAATAAATTTTGAAAATTTGAGTAAGTTGAAATTTATTACTTGTCAACTATTATTGTTAAAAATGTAATTGTTATGCATTATAATTAAGTTAGCCACTATTGACAAATTTGTATAATTTTTTTTAATGAAAAAATTATAATAAAAAAAATAATTTGAATTTTAAAAAACTTGAAAAACTTTTATTGTAATTTTGAAAAAATATTTTTTTGTTCCTATTTAATAAATAAAAAAAAACATAAAATAATTTAAAATGTCTTTAGAGTCACTCAATTATTTAATATTCAGTAATTAAAATTTCAGTTCAATAACTTAAATCATATTAGTTGGAAATTTTCTTCATAATACATCTTCCTGATGAATTAAAATCTATTTTATAATTTTTTTGAATTTTTATAATAACCAAATTGCTATAAAAAAATTTTATAATAATAAAATTCCACATTTAAAAATTAGAAAAAAATATGATACTAAAGTTAGCCGACATTTATAATTTTTTTTTAATAATTAAATTAAAACAAAAAAATATTTTTAAAAAATTGCACTTACAGTTTTTAAAGTTTTTTACAAGTGAAATTTTTTTTTTATTTTTTTGTAATCATTTTTTCAATAAAAAAAAATTCTAAAAATTTTTAAATATCAGCTAACTTAATTTTCATGAAAAAAATTACTAGTGCAAATTTTTAATAAATATTTTTTTTCATAATTGATTTGTAAAAAAAAATACAAAAAAAAATTTTGAGATGTCTGCTAATTTCAATATCATTTTTTTAGTATAATTTGTTGTAAAAAGTAAACTACTTTATTTTAGACTTGTTTTTATATTTAGGCACTATATATTTTTTAAAGAAAATTTTTTCAATAATCAAAAAATAATATTATGATAAAATTTATTGTCATTAAATTTAAGTTTGAAACTGAAAAGTATTTTTAATTTTAAGTTTTTAAATATGAAAATAAAATTAACAGACAATTTTACGATTTTTCTTATTAAAAAAAATTATTACATAAAAATAGAAAGAAAAATTGCACATTTAGAAGATGTTAAAAATTGTTACTACAATTTTTTATAAATATTTTTTTGGTGCTATACATCTAGAATCATGGTGGTGTATACATCTAGAATCATTAAAAATTGTTATAATAAAAAATTATAATTACTTCAATAATCCAAACATAAAAAAAATATAATAAATTTATTTTTATTATTATACTCATAAAAAATACCTCTCTGAATTAAAATCTTAATTTCTCTTTAAATTTTGGACCTGAAATAAATTTCTTACAAATACCTTATTGAGAAATACCTTGATTTTTTCAGATAAGGAGCTGGCACGGTTCTTATCAGCAATGCCTTACCAAAGAATACTTCACCTATAAGGATGATACCTCAGGACAAATTCTAGTCAGTTATTAATGATGTTGAAATGTAACAAAAATTATTTCATCAAATGCAATTCTCTTATTCAAACTGATGATTTTCAAATAATAAATATTAATTAAAATATTTTGATATTCTATTGTATTACTTATAAACTTAAATTAAAAACTATTGCATATTTATATTTAAATACAACAGTATCACTTTGACTGAAGAAACATTATAATTTTAATCTGGAATTTTTTATGGAAACAATTATAATCTATTGAGAATAGGCTGAAGAGAAGGAGAAAAGGTTATTGCAGAGGTGGAACTAAAACATAATACAGCATCTTGTAACAAAGTCACTTTCACTCGACTCTTCGTACTATCGAAAGTATAATTCCTCTTGTCTTATTTTATGAATCATTTGGTACTGTAAATTTACTTTAAACAATCAAAATGATAGTTTTATTTACTGCATATATATTATACAGTATTTTTATTTTGGTAATAGGCGAAAAATCCCTTGTAAGTATTTATTTTTTCGTAATTATATTATTTGCTTTCTTTTCATAAATTAAATAAATAAATATAGATATAAGTTATTGTATGCAATTGTCTTCGGGTAAAATCAATTTGTATTTATTATTATAAGACAAAATAATTTTTCTGTGCCTTCATCAAATTTTAAAAAATATTTACAAAATTAACTTATAATATTTTACTTAAAAAGAATATTTTAAAAATTAATTTAGAGTTTTCAATAATAAAATGTTTTTCTTCTTTAATAATAATTGTATTTTTTTAACTGATAATATTTTAAATGGCGAAATTACTTTTTAAAATAAATATACTGAAAACATTAATTTTGTTTAAAGAATTTAATTATATCGCTTGAGAATAAATATTTTCATATTAAAATACACAATAGTTACCGATTGAAGATATATAAAAATTTTATTTCAAGAATTTATAAACCAAGAGAATAAATTATTGATGCAAAAAAAATGTATTTTCTTGAAAATGAAAATTTTTATTTTTAGAATAATTTTTTCTTAACAAGTTTTTTTTTATCAGTAAATTGAACTTGAAAAATGATATTTCTTCTTTTTAATTTTTTCAAGAAGATAAAGTATCATTATGCCTTACCATATTTAGAAAATTTATTTCTATAGAATTTAAATATCAATACTGCTATTCTAATACGTCGTATCCCACAAAATTTGACATTTTTTTTTTTTGAAAAATAGAATCACAACAATATTATGCAAGTCATATTAAAAATTTGAAGCTCAGATAATTTAATAACTCTAGAGTTACTAGAATTTAATTTGCGCACGCAAGCGCGCGCCCTAATATAGATTTTACATATATTTTCATATTTATGATATATTTGACCAATCATGTTACGAATAGTTTGCAACACATATTTTTCATCTTAATTTTATTATAGGAATTTTTAAATAAATATTTTCATCCGTTGAATCCTATTTAATCAATGTTAAAAATGGACTGTTTTTACCGTCTGCTGTAAAATTGGTGGAACCAAAAATGAAAATGAAAATGAAAATGGTGGTATTGCACATGAATTAGTTATCCAATATCGTATTTTTGATCTTCGTTATGAAAGCAGATAGTGAACTCTCAAAGAAGAAATATATCAATACTGTCATTTGGTGGTGGAACCGAATCCTATTTAATCAATGTTAAAAATGGACTGTTTTTACTGTCTGCTGTAAAATTTTCTAAATGTGGGATACGAGGTATTAGAATGCTAGTATTGATATATTTCTTCTTTGAGAGTTCACTATCTGCTTTCATAACGAAGATCAAAAATACGATATTGGATAACTAATTCATGTGCAATATCGGTTCCATACCACGAAATCTCCCCGACAAAATACGCTTCAAAATCTCGTTGTGCCCTTTTATCATGATTATTTGTGTATATTTACACGAGAAATATCATCACAACTGTCAGGAATAAAATAATATTATTATTTAAAATTATTTAAAATTAGATTTTGTCGGGGAGATTTCGTCGTGTCACCTCATTTTTATTATCTATATTTATATTAAATTAAAACTTTACTTAGAATATATTATTGTTACCATAAATATATATTGACGATTGGCGTTCTTTGGCAATAAATAAATAAATTAATCAATAATTATATATTTGGTCAAAAATATAATTTTTCTAACTCAATCAATATTTTTTCTTTAAAATAATTTTTAAATTCAGTTATTTAATTCATACTTTATAATAAGAAACAGTTTTTTTTTTGTCAAATAATTACAAAACTCGATAAATTAAAATGAAAATAATAATTAAAAATAATTTTACAGAATACAATTCCGCAACAATCATCAAATTTTAGTTGCAAAAGTCGTGATACTGGATTTTACGCCGACATTGAATCAAATTGCCGGATTTATTACACTTGCGACGATCACGGGAACAAATTTTCATATAATTGCCCGCAAGATACAGTTTTCAATCAAGAAACCCTCGTTTGTGATCACACATATCGAGTTGATTGTCAGAAGTCTGCAAAATTTATCTTACAAGATGTTAAAACGCAACAAATTCAAGAAAAAGATATTGAATTTGACAACACACAAAATGCAAATAAATTTTCAAGATCGTTCCGAATAACACCTCAACCATCGATTTATTTCTTAGCTCCTAAAGATAATAATAATAATAATAATAATAATAATAATAATACTAAACCATCAGTTCCAAAAGATCAATCTAATTCCGGCAGTAATCAAGATTTCTTCAAAAGTTCAAGAAACTCGCAATTCAACAGAGGAAATTTATTTTCTTCCGTAATAAAATCATCATCTCAACCAACATTAACTTCAAGTACAACAACTACAACAACGCGACCTCAAATAAGAAGAGGCGACACCAAAAACTTTTCCTCTAAAATTGAGAATCAGAAAATTTTCAGTTCTCAAAGAAATATTAAAATAAATGACACCGAATTTCAGCAACCCTTTAGAACAACCACAAAATCTTCAATTGTTATTGATCCTTATTCAGGAACTTTGAGATCAATACAAAATAATAATAAAATTTCTAATAGTAGTACTAAGAATCAAAATAATAAAAAAGAACAATTTATTGTTACAACTGTTCCGACAACGACAGCAGGAACGGATTTTCCAATTCCTAGTTTTGAAGAATCATTATTTTCTGGATTGAATAATTTTAATGATGATGATCCATATTACCCGCGATATACGACAAGCACAGAAGGATACACATTAGAAACAATTGAGCAAACTCCATTCTCCTTTACAACCCAGCGAATTAGAACAACTAATTTTAAATTAAATCTAGTGGATCTCCTGCCGGATTTGAATTCTGTTGAAGATTTAGTCGATCGTCGGAAGCATCTTTTTATTCCTAAAACTAAAAATATTTAGTTTAATTTTCTGTTTTTATTGTAAAGAAATGCAAGTGTAAATTGATGGCTTTATAATAAAAGAATTTTAATTACATCCAAAAAATTGACTCATTGCTTCTTGGAATTTCTTCATTATAATAGAGAAGAAATAATAATAAAACTTGAATTGTTTGAGAATTAATTTATTTGTAAAATTATTAATTAAAGAAGATTATTTTAAATTTTGAAAAATTATGTTATTATCAACTCAAAACAACTAGTATAACTCGAGTAAAGAGTTTGGCTTATTTATTATAATTAAGAGAATGAAGAAAATTTTGTCTCCAGTGTGTTAATATGATGAAATGAGTTTTTTATATTAAATTTAGTGCTATTGGAAAGGTTTTGATCTGAATTATTAACATTTTTATGGATATAAACTCATCCTGATGTTACGCTCATCGAGAGCTTTCATTTGAGTACCCACACGATTTTTTTCATATATTTTATATATATGATATTTCTCATATTTGTGAAATATATAAAATATATGAAAAATTGATGTGGGTACTCAAATGAAAGCTCTCGATGAGTGTTACTTCAGGATGAGCTTATATCATTAGAAATTACATCAGTAGACAAAATACACAGTCATTTCTTAATTATTGAAATTTTTCAGGATATAAGCTCATCCTGATGTTACGCTCATTCGAGACCTTCATTTGAGTACCCACACGATTTTTGAGTGTTACTTCAGGATGAGCTTATATCATTAGAAATTACATCAGTAGACAAAATACACAGTCATTTCTTAATTATTGAAATTTTTCAGGATATAAGCTCATCCTGATGTTACGCTCATCGAGACCTTTCATTTGAGTACCCACATCAATTTTTCATATATTTTATATATTTCACAAATATGAGAAATATCATATATATAAAAAATATGAAAAAAATCGTGTGGGTACTCAAATGAAAGCTCTCAATGAGCGTAACGTCAGAATGAGCTTATATCTTAATAAATGTCAATAATTAAGGAATGACTGTATATTTTGTCTACTGAAGATATTTCTAAGGATATAAGCTCATTCTGAAGTAACACTCATCGAGAGCTTTCATTTGAATACCCACACGCTTTTTTCATATATTTTATATATTTCACAAATATGAGAAATATCATATATATAAAATATATGAAAAAAACCATGTGGGTACTCAAATGAAAGCTCTCGATGAGCGTAACATCAGGTTGAGCTTATATCTCAAAAAATGTCAATAATTAAGGAATGATCGTATTTTGTCTACTGACAATATTTTAACAATATCTATCATAGCTCTATTATTTTTTCAAATAATCTAGAAAGTAAACTAAATCTAGTGTAATTTTAAATATCAAAAAACCGTCAATCCAAAGTTTTCTTTATTCACAATTCGTCACTCTTGGCAGTCACACAGTGACTGCAAGTTGCTAGTCATAATTATTCAATGATCAAAATTTTCAACAGTCAAATAAAAAAAGTTGTGTATAATGTAGAATTTTTATTCAATAATTACAATAACATAAATATTACAATAATTCAATGATAATGATAAATTATAGATGAAAAATTAATATGTGAAGCTAACCGATGATAATAACAATAACTATTAACTAAGATATAGTAACTATAAATACGCGGGCAGAAAACAAAAAGCGTAGATCAACAGAAGCATGACTTATCAACTCTATTTTGTTACTCCTTGATCAAGCATAAAATAATATCTAACAAAATTGTCGACTAGAGATCACCTGAACCTTAAGATTTATGATGTATATTAATTATGCATTCATTTTATCTTCTTTCATGTAATCACAGAAACACTCAGTAATCAAAAACACATGAAAAATCATCAGGATAAATAAAATATGCATGCGGATACATTGTATACATTGGTTCGAGTTATAAATCGACTTTTACTCTAATGATAATTATTGTTATGAATTACTATTGATGTTCGCATTGATTTACCCAAAAGAATCGGGATAATATAATTTTTAAAATCGTACAAGTTTTACGGTGACTGTTGCAAAACAATACAATAATGTGATGGAGCAGTAGTATATAATCCTACATTGAAGTACCCGAAGTACATTAAATCCTTTTGTATGCAAATTACGGTATCGGTTTAAAAAGATTTTTCGCTTGCGTGGTAGGACGTACCATTTCTGGACGTCACTTGGACATACCAAGCAGCGCCAGCAGCATTGTCCTGAAAAAGAAGATATTTTTTTTTATTAGTAAGTACTGAATTGTATAAAATATTGTTTGATAAAACTTTGCTTTATAATTCATATAAAATCATATAGTCATTTATGAATTTATGTGAAGAAAAAAATGAAAATTAAGTTAGCCGACATCTAAAAATTTTTATAATTTTTTTTAATTGAAAAAATGATAACAAAAAAATTTTTTTAAAAATTATATTTGTAAAAAACTTTAAAAACTGGCAGTGCAATTTTAAAAAAATATTTTTTTTTTCTAATTTAATTATTAAAAAAAATCCAAAAATTTAAAACGTCGGCTAACTTTAGTATCATTAGAAAAAATACGCTTTTATGTGAAAATAAAATGGGAAGATATCTGACAATTTTTAGGATTTTTTTTATTAAGAAAAAAATAAAAAGAAAAATTATACATGTAGAAAATTTGAAAAGCTATAAGTGCAATTTTTTATTAATATTTTTTTAAATGACTGCTGATTTTAGCATTATTCTTTATGACAATAAAATTAGCCGATATTTAAAAATTTTTAGAATTTTTTATATTAAAAAAATATTCCAAAAAAAATTTTTTTTTTAATTTAATTTGTAAAAAATTTGACAAACTGTAAGTGCAATTAAAAAAATTTTTTTTAGTCCTAATTTAATAAATTAAACAAAATCAAAACATAATAAATGTCGGCTAACTTTATTATTATTTAGTTAAAGTTTTTACACCATATTAGGTCAAGGACTAGTAGATTTTTTATTCAAGCCCAAAGATATTATCAGATAGGTCTTAAAATTTCATGAATTTATTATTATTTATTCTTTTAGTAGTAAAGTTTTACATGAGATAAAGTATCAGCAATAATCACATGAGATAAACGCTGTCCAAATTTCAAACACAGTAACTGACAATTTTAAGATTTTTTTTAATTTTTCTTATTAAAAAAAAGTTTGCGCGCCAAATTAATAAAAAATTTGATTTATGAATAGAAAACACTTGAGTATAAATATTTTTAAGATAAATTACTTGAAATTAAGGTCTAAAAGTTATAAAAAATGCAGTAATAAGTACTAAAAAAGTATAAAAATTTTGCAGTTACTGTGTTTAAAAATTGGGCAGCCGTAAAGTATGTAAGTAAAAATGATTTACCTTGTAGATGATATCGAAAACAAAATTTTCTTGACACCTTCTTCAAGATTGCTGGTCACGCGATAAGCTTGCTGAGAAAATAGAGCCACCGTTTTAAAAACATGATACCGCATTGAAAAATACTTGTAATTTTTCTTCATCTCCAACGAAAATAGATAATCTATTGAAACACATAAGCATTTGATTAGAAATTAACAACCATTTTTCTTTTCTTCAATTGATATGTGCAAACTAATAGATGTTTTGATACTTTGAGAATTTTCTATATTAGCTACCTATATAAATCTATTAAACTAATTTAACATGTTATTGATAATCATCGCTACCATTGTACCAAGCACAAAATTATAGTATAATTTCTAAGTTTAAATTAATTTTTTAATTTTAGAGATACTCAGGCATTTTACAAAATTACTCTTAAAGTTAAGATTTAAGACATTAGTCCAATAATAATTAGTTAAGAAGAAATATCTATTTGTTTTTATTCAAACTACTAGTATGATATTTTTAAGATGGTCTAAAAATTTTTTTAAAGAGATTAGCGCTTATTAATTTTTTATCAATTTATTCTTATTTATTATTTATTTATATGATAAATTTTTTCATATTAATAAAGTTAGCCGACATTTTTAATTTTTTGATTTTGCTTCATAAAAAATTAAAACTAAAAAACATTTTCAAAAAATTGCAATTATAATTTTTGAAGTTTTTTACAAAGGAAAAAATTAAAAAAAATTTTTTTTGTAATAAAAAAAATTATAAAAATTTATGATACTAAAGTTAGCCGATGTTTTTAATTTTTTGATTTTATTTTTAATAATTAAATTAGAACAAAAAAATATTTTTTAAAAATTGCACTTACAGTTTTTGAAGTTTTTGACAAGTGAAATTTTTTTTTTTATTTTTTTGTAATCATTTTATCAATAAAAAAAAATTCTAAAAATTTTTATATGTCAGCTAACTTGATTTTCATTAAAAATTTTTAGATGTCGGTTAATTTCATTTTCATAATTTTTTCTTCTTTCATTAAAACTTCGAAAGAAAAAAAATTTTAGATCACCTTAAAGAGCATGAATTTTTTTCTACAGATAAATGAAGTATGATAAGTTTGTTTTTTTTTGTACTATTCATTAAAATCATGAATGTTGCATTTTTTTTAATATCTAATTTTTTATTAATTTATCTAATCAATATTACTATACAAAAAAAAAAAAAAAAAAAAAACCAACTACACGGAAAGAAAAAGATGACACTGGATATCATCCCAGATTATACTCAGTGATATCTGTGGTGAAAAAAAATTTCAAATTGTAGCTAAAAAAAAATCCAGATTATACTGCGTGATATCTTGATTATACTCATTGCAATCTGGATTATACTCATTATAATCTGGATTATACTCATTGTAATCTGGATTATACTAGCTACTATCTTAAAAAAAATTCGCTCAGTATAATCTGGGATGATATCCAGTGTCATCTTGTTTTTTTCGTGTACTATGCAAAAATAAATATTAAAATTTATTCCCAGTGAAAATTAAATTGCAACACATCATGACCTTTTATAAATTCATATTAATAAACTTCAGTAGTAATTTTTTCGAAGACATGCGATCTTTTTTTTGACCGTGACAATTTATCAAACTGACCTTAGGCCAGTTGAAAACTAGCCAAACGAGACATTGCAAACATTGTATCTGATAATCATCCATTTAATTGCCGCAAGATAAAATAATATTTTTCATTAATATCACATTTCCTTTCACTTATAGTACACATTATAATTGTTTGAATCACCTCTGCTTTAAAAGTTCCGTTAGGCAGTCAATAAGTGTTCCATTATTACATATTTAAATATGTCTCTGTGTTTATCTTCTGATTAGTTCTGTTATGTAAATCATTTGGTCACATTTTTAATTTTAAAATATTTAAGATGTTTAAAAAATATTATAAGGTTTATTTGTACATTGTCAATCATTAAATTTAAGTTCACGCGAAATATTTTTTTTTTCTAAATGCTTAACTCTTGATAGAGAACGAGTCTATCGAAATTGACGTGTGACTTAACGCTGTTTCTGGTATGACTACCCGCGTTCCAGACTCTCATTGCCCAACCATCGTACTCATTATGTTTTAATTTTTTTGTTCCATCTCTAACCTTCTCGTCAGCTTCATTTTTTCTAACTCTTTCACAATCAAAAGTTCCTGGATTTTCTTCGGGGTATAGCACAATGTAATTTATTCCATTTTGTTCTCTTTCGTCATTTACTTTCTGCATTTCATATTTATTATTCTGTGATGTATGTTCCGAGATTACTAATGGACTTTCTGATACGTCCTGCAAGAAAATTTTATATTTGATTAGTACTTAAGAATAGCTTTTCATTCAATTTTATAGTAAATTAAGACAAAAAAAATTGTTACAAGACATTTGAACCGCATACAATTTTTTATTAGGGTGAAAAAAAAAACGATAATGCATATTATTAAGAGAATAAAAAAAATTTTGTGTCCAAGATAGTCATATTATAAAATCGGTTTTTTAGTGAAATTTAGTCTCATTGCAAAGGCCTTCACTTGAATTTGTGCCTTTTGAAGGTTTCATAACATTCTCACCGATAGTCAATTTATTATGATAAGTATTTAGGCTGCATTCGAAAATGCTCTATTTCTAGATACATAATTAAGAAATGATCTTGTATCTTGTGAACTATTGACATTTTTAAAGATATAAGCTCATCCCGATGTTACACTCACCGATACCTTTCATTTGAATACCCACATCAATTTTTCATATATTTTATATATTTATATATATTATATATATTGTATATATGAAAAATATATTAAAATGCATGTGGGTACTCAAATGAAAGCTTTTGATGAGTGTAACATCGGGATGAGCTCATATCTTCAAAAACATCAATAATTAAGAAATGACCGTGTATCTTGTGCACGATTGACTTTTTTGAAGATATAAGCTCATCCTAATGTTACACTCATCGAGACTTTTCATTTGAGTACCCACATCAATTTTTCATATATTTTATATATTTATATATATTATATATATATATATGTATGTATATAAAATATATAAAAAATGCCATGTTGGTATTCAAATGAAAGGTCTCGATGAATGTAACATCGGAATGAGCTTATATCTTTAAAAACGTCAATAGTTAAAAAATTACAGTGCAATTTAACAAAAATCATTATTTAAAAAAGCAAAATCCATTTATTTATACTTCACAAGTCACAGCAATCACATAGTGACTGCAAGATTGCTATTAAATTATTCATTATTAATAAAATACTGCAACAATTCCTGTAAAATATTTAAATAAAAAATTTGTCTATTTTTTGTAGATCAATTGACTGAGTTTCAGTGGTCGCGTCACGAAAAAAAAAATATTTTGTAAAAATTTTTTTTATGATTTGAATTATTACATATTCTTCATTTGGTATTTTTAAAAAATATTGTATAATAAAATTTAATTTCAAAATTAATTATGAAAATTCTTAAAAAAAAATATATATTTTTTTTTGTCTATCTACTATAACTTTTTACCAAAAAATTAAATGTAAAATCACCTACCATTTTATTACAACCATTATTATAAATCATGAATTCAATCTGAGAAACTTTATTAGTATTATTTTCATTATCCGTGATTTCCATTAGTTCATCAAATTTCTTCATTTCCTCCGCTGAACTCTTACAATTTTCAAACTTCATTTTCTTCCCAAGCCTATCAGTTCCATCGACTTGATCACATGTATTGTTTTCACCATGCTTCTCAAGTTTAGCAATTCTTTCCATCAATTGTTGGTTGCATAAATTTTTTTCCTTCAATTCCAGATGAGCTTTTTCCAGCTGAGCCTTTTTGGCTTCAAACCTTGACCAGGTCATATCAACTTGCTTGACCGTTTTTGAAATTTCTTTCGTATTCATTGATTCAGTCATCGTACAAGAATCTTTAAAATCAATTTTTGTCATCGTCCCAACATTAACTTTCTTAATATTTTTAAATTGCCGTAAAATTTTGAGCTCATTTTCCATCCAATAAATTCTAGTAGTAAGTCTTCTGTTTTCATTAATTAATTCTTCTTCTTTCCGTTTGGCGATAAAATTTTCATTTAAAATCTTTTTGTGATTTTCTTGATGTTCAGCAAGTTGTCCCTCGAGTTCACGTACTTTTTCTTTGTAAGAATTCAATTTTTCTTCAGTAATTTCAAGAATATCCGTAGAAATTGGTACTTTGGCAGCTTTTTCTTGAATTCTTTCCCTCAGAACTTGCAATCTTTGTACTTCTTGTAACAATTCACCAGCTGGTGTTTCTGTTTGTGTACCACAACTAATTACTTCAATGTTATCATTATCATCTTCATCCTCAAAAATACCGCTCTCTTGTAAAGACAACGAGGATTTTTGCACTGAAGTCAAAAGCAAAGAAGATTGACTGTTGCACGAGCTATAAGGTATAACAGTTGCAATGGCACGATCTTTTTGTTTACTCGATGCAGTACATTGAACTTTGAATAATTGAATCGGCTCGGGTGATCCAACACCACTATCAACAGCATCACGACTTTCACGTGGCCCAATTTCTTCCAATTCTATAACACGAAACTCCAACAATTCATTTTGTTCTTTAAGTTCCGACAATTCGGCAATCAAATCTGCTTCACGTTCTTCAGCTTCGCGCAACTTGTTACTTAGTGCAATTCGATTATGTTGACCACTATGTGTCTCTTGTAGCAATGCATTTTCCAATTCACGGACAAGATTTCGAGCGCGCTCTAATTCCTGTCGCTCTTCAGTATACTTCATATGCAATTCATCATTTTCAAATAACAGCTCTTCATAAGCTTCACGCGTTACAGTATTTGCTTGCCATATAATAGTACTGGCTTGCATTGTTGCCGATGAAGATGTACTTGATAAAGTACTATCACCATCTTCCTGTTCCTCTTCATCATCTACCTCAGCAACTGGCGCTAATTCCATGTATCGCTTGTATAGTGATCCTTTCTTCTTCTTTCTTCTACTCCATAATAACTGGTCAATCTTCCGTTCTTGTTCCTTCAATAGCTGACGTAAATATTCTATTGCTTCCTGTTGTTCCAATGCAAGCTCACGAAGTCGTTCGGTCTCTCCCTCACAATTACCTTTGTAGAGGTTCATCTGAGAAATAAATTTTTAAATTAATTAACAATTCAATTGTTTGTAAAGAAGAAAAAAAGTTTATTTATTTATTTATTTATTTCTGGATATATATTCTATAGAGGTGCATTACACCTGTGCATACACGGAAAAAAGTAATCTGTAATATTCACTCGGATTCTGGTTAATTTTTATAGTTTCAAACAGTAAAGCGGACATCGGGGTGGCAATATATAAATATTATAGAACTTAATGTAGAAATTATAAAAGCCACAATTTATAATTTAATATCCAAAATAAGTGATTAGTAGTTGTCACTATAGTAAATAACGACTCTTTCATCTTAAAAAATTACAGTTTCAAACAGTAAAAATTGCCATTTCAATATATAGTCCATATTATGAGGAGAAGGGGAACTCAGATGAAAGAGAAGGGGGTCTCACTCTGGGAGAATTTAACATTTGAAACAGTAAAAATTGTACTTTTAAAATATAGATTTTACCAGTCCAAGCAAGTCAATAATTACAGTTTGATTGTTAGCGTCGCGTTTAAAATTTACCATTTTACTTTGTAAATATTGACGTTGCTTGTATTAGAAATTTACTAACTCTATTTTATACTTTTTACATATCATAAGATCATTTTTTAGGTACCAAATGATAAATATCAAAGTCTGAATTGTTAATTATTATACTTAAACATTTTAGACATTTACATAGCGAATATTACTGTTTGAAATGGTATTTTCTTCCATGTAAAGAGTAAATTGTAACGTTTAAATGGTAAATAATTATAAAGTGAATAGTAAAATCACGATTTTACTGTTTGAAATGGTCATTTTTAGCAGTTGATCATTACTTATTATAAATCGACTTTTATTTATTATAGTTTATTTTTTTCCGTGTAAAAATCAGAAAAAAAAATGAAAAATACAAAAAATTATGCATAATGTTTACGAATCAAGAAAATTTCAATAGAAAAGAAACGCACAATATTACAAATTGACGGTATAACTAGCAATTTGTCCAACTCCGTATTTTTTAGAGGGTTATTTTTTAACATTTTGATGTAGCAATAATTCAAAGAAGGCGCGCAGTAGCTTATCGGATCCGGCCCTTGCTTACCAAAGCATTGGACCGGGTTCGAGTCCGGCGTACACCAATTAATATTTTCAATATTTAAGTGTATTATTCTGCTCAGCCCAAAAAATACAAACGAGTTCCAATCTCAAAAGTTTACCCCCTACCGTAGTCGCTCATGACCTTAGTAGTTTATGCGACTTTAAACAAATTAAGAAAAAAAAAAAATAATTCAATAAAAATTTTATTTGAATGATTTAAACCTAAATATTATATTTTTATTGGATATTAATGATATTAAATGGTTTTTTAAAGTGAGAATAAATTTTGAACTAATGGTTTTTTTTTCATACAAATAGTAGATTCTCTAAAATATAGTTAGACAATTTGCTATAATTATAACGTCGAAATATCATAACACAAATTGCTATACAGTCATCTCTATAAAGCACAGATAAAACCATAAGTTTTTAACAATTCAGATTTCTAATAAATTTGCAGATTTTACTTCTTAGAATCTTTTTAGATACATTCAGTGTTTTTAACACATTCGGTAGTTTATTATAATATTTAATTGCTACATAGTAGTCATTTCTGGTGTTAATAGTCTTCTTAACTTTAAGTAAAATTAACGGCCTATTACGAGTATTAAGTATCCTTTCAGAGTACAATATTTTACAATCATTGTAATAATATAAAAGAGCTTTAACAACAACAAAATTATCTTTTATTTTTAAAGGTATCAACGACTCATTTTTTATTTTCATTTTACTGATTAATTTATTTTGAATTTCGACTAGCGGTTTAACAGAATTGTCATCAATAGTTATTTTAAACATAATTTCAGAAAATTTATGTTTAGTAATAATAAAAATAATTTTTAATTGATAGATCGACTGATATCCTTTTTGTTTTAAAATACCAAGTATACAATGATTATTTGCCTTTCTAATATGAGAGAAGTGATATGACAAAATATATTGAAATTGATGACGGAATTCAAAGTAACACCTAAATGAACTACACTTGTTTTTACTCCCTGATTAAATTATTTGATTAAATTTTATTAGTAAGATGATAATACTGACTAGAATACATAAGTTTTATCTTTGGGATTCCATCAGAATATTTAATGAGAATTTAGTTTCAAATTCTTAAATCTACAACTTCCACAAATTTTACATGGTTTGTTGATTTCATCTTTATTTATTATAATTCTGACTTAAGAGCGGTTGATAGTTAATTTTCAAACGTGTTTTGCTCATGTATAAGATAAAATTTCGAAAAAAACGCTTTCGCTCTTCGATAAATAATTTAATTATCTATCGAAGAGCGAAGCGCTTTTTTTGAAAATTTTCATTTATTTATGCATAAAATGCGTTTTAAGATTCTATTTATTAATTGATATATCAATATTTAATATTTGATATTTAATAATTTAAAAAAAAATTTTTTATTAAATAAATCACGTCAAAAAAAATTAACATGTAGAAATTTTAATAAATTAAAAATGCAATATTTTTTAAAAATAATTTTTCGGAACAAATTTATTTGTTAAATAAAATTAAAAAATTGTTAAGTGACAGCTAACTTTAGTATTATAAACAACTTAAAAATATTTTCAAAAATAAAATTATACTTATAAAATTTTTAATAGTTTAAATAAAGTTTTTTTTTAATTTTATAAATTTTTGAAGTTTAATTTCTTTTTTAACAAACGAAAAGTTCTTACACAGTAAAGAATTTTGCGTCAAAAATTTTTGTGTTTAATATTTAACACTTTTTTGAGTAAATTTAACAATTTTTTGTGTTAATTCTTTTAAATCAACCCAAAAAAAGTGTTAAATATTGAACAAAATTTTTAAATGTAAAATTTTTTACCGTATAAATGTATAGCTTGTTAAAAAAAATAAATTTTTTATTTTTGTAAGAAGAAATATTTTTATAAAAATTTTTATTTCTTAATTTAGAGAATAAGAAAAATCATATATATTTTTTATTAAAATTATGTGAAGAAAATCATTAAGTGACATTTAAAAATTTGTTTTTTGCAAAAATTCTAATAATTCTCGTTGTTTTAAATTTTGGTATACGATTTATTAAATAACTATACTTCTTTAGCAATTATATAATTTTATAAAATAAAAAGGTGGAAAAAAATGAAAATAAAGTAATACTTTTAGAAAAATACGTACAATTTTCTAAAATCCATGAATAAAAAAAAATAATCCATTGATAATAAGTTGAGTATTTAAAAAATGATCACATCAAATAAACGTCATCGGTTCACAACGCACAAGTGTAAATTGATAATAAAGAAGAAAAAAATCAACTCTCACATGATCGGTATCAGGATAATTAAAAACATAATAATACAAGCTTTCGGACTATGATTGATTACAGTAACGAGTTACGAATGAAAGGAGTAATGAACATGAGACGATTTATTAATAAATAATACTCGTAAATGACGATAAAGACTGAATGATGAACGAAATGACCTGGCTAAAAGAGGCTGGAGACTAAAACCGTTACTTTGGCCCCGTGACACACAGCTGACTCGTCTTGTCACAATTTCTTTCTCTCTTATTTTTTCAAGTAACCCTCTTGAGAAGAGCAACCTGAACCGTACAGGTCAGGTGTACAACCAACCAGTCAATCTTTCATTGAATTATCAATATTAAATTATTGCCATCGGTATTTTATATTGATGCTTATTATTTTCTCCACTATATTATTTTCTTACTCTGTAGAAAGTCTAAGCAAATCCTTTCTTGAATTTTGATTTCATCTAAATAATAGATGATTTAAAAAAAAACTTGACATAAATCATTTTCATAAGTAAGAAAATAGAAAAGATTTTATCTAGAGTTATATTTGCGATAAAATGGTTCAAAATTTCAACCAGAATTTGTGCCATTTCATAATTTCATGTTTTTGATTTATTATTATAAGATTCGAATTTTATTTATTTATTTTTTGTGCAAATTGGCAAATTAATTTTGTACAAATAATACAAATATAAAATGAATGAAAAAATTGTAAATAATAGATTTTTTTAAGCAAAAATTATCCTCTCTTTTTTATATTTATGAATAATAAAATATATTGCAATAAAATTGTAAGTTTTGCATGATTGCATTATTTGTCTCTTCAAGTCGCTTCTATGAGAACTTTCATCAAATTAATTATGATAGATGTTAGTGATATTATTTATATAATTTGTTCGTACCAAAAATGATGTATATTGTGATAAAAAATATCGAAAATTATTGATCAAAAATTTTTCAAGCTCAAAGTTTGAATTCCCAGTACACACGGAAAGAAAGTTGTAGGAAAAATTACAATGGTAGCATCGTAATCCAGGACCAGGCTTTCAATACAGTCCCTTCGATAATTGCACGACTCATGATGCGAAGCATCATGAGAGTGCTTTACGATCGAAAAATTTTTTTCGCCTCATTTCGGCAACTATTTTTATTATTATAGTCTTGTTAGTTCACGGAATCAATATATTTTGCATACTATTGTCATCAAAATAGGTCAAAAAATTTTCCTGTACGTCATGTATGAAACTCCGGAAGCACTTTAACTTGCGAAAAAATCCATTAATTGAGTTAAATTTTTTTTTTTTTTTCAATTCTTTATTTGAGCTGTTTTATATATATTTTTTTCACATTCTTTTTTTTATTAATATTTCATAATTAAATGAGCATTATGAATCGTGCACTTTTGGATTTTCCCAACTTTTTTTTTTTTGCAACTTAAAATTTATGATGTTACATCGTGAAAATTCGAATATTTACTACTTTTATATGTAAAATTTAAAAATTAAAAATTATCACACTGAGAAAAAACAATATTTTTACTCAATTAAAAATTTTTTGATTAAAAAAACTCGCTGACAATCAAATATTCTATTATTATTAATTATAAATTTCTGAAGAGAAGAACATTAATATTTATCTTTGGATAATAGATAAACAAAAAAATAGCTTTATTTAAATTAAATAAAAATTGTTTCAATTAATTTAACAATTTCTTGAGCTAAGAATATATTTTCTTGAAAATTTTCAAGAACATAAATTCTTGTATCAAGAAAATTTTCTTAATAAAAGTATTTTTTTTTTCCGTACAATCAAATAATGATTGAAAGTTACAAGTGATTTTAAATTGTTTTCTAATTCACTGCTTACACTTGACTTGATCTTCGAAAGTGATGCATGCAAATGAATTTCTTTTCGCATAGAATTACACATTTGATTTCTCTCAATGCAAATTAATCCGATTTTCTCTAATTCATTAAACATATCGTAATTTTTAAATCTTTCTTTGACATGATATCTTTTGAAAAGTGAATTCTCGCGTGTCATTGCTCAAGTATAATTACCATTAACGTTTTTTCTTATAACACTTAAACTTCATTAATTTTATTTATATTATCGGTATAAAATGTAAAAGATGTAAGTTATCGCTAATAAACATGTAAGCTAAATGGATGATTAGACTGACAAGTATCAAATAAATAGTGGATTTATTATTTTGGTTATCGGTTAGATGAAATTAAATAGCTTTTAGATTATATCACGAGAAAGTGTTTATAGCTAGAAGTTATGATCTTTTTATTATTGAAAGAGTGGGATGGTGTTGATGATATTCTCAAGAAAATTGTACCAATGACTTATCAGGCATATTTAGTTCTCGTGCAATCGATCTTCGCAACAGGTGAGCAGAACACGCAGCATTACCGTTATCCTCACCTCTCAGCTCTCTCTCTTGTATGTATTATTTGTGCTCTCTATAGTGTACATGTAATCCCTATTTGTGATGATAATTTTCAACTAATTTCAGATTTAAAGAATAAAAAATCTTTAAATTTTTTCATACACTTAATTTTCGACTAATTCTTCTTTTAAAGGTTTTCTTTTATCATTTTGTATGAAGAAATTTGTTATTGAAAGAAAAATATAAAAGTTCTTAGAAAAAAAGTAAATTATTGTTAATTTTCAAGAACTTTTTTTTTATAAAGAATTTTTTTTTAAGGATCGGTTTCTTGAGCCAAGATTACAAAATTTAATTAAGATAAAAAATTCTTCAAAATTGTTTCTGCTATATATATATACACAGTAAAAAATTTTGTGTCATTACGCCAAAAAATTTTTGTGTTAATTTTTTTAAATCAATACAAAAAAAGGTAATTATTTACAAGTGGGGTCAAACCTATTTTTGACCATAAAAAATAAATGAATTGATGGATCGTCAAAATTTATTTTTTAACTTTGATTTTAAGGCGAATTTATTTATGGTGGGGATATCGAAAATATTAAAAAATTAATATTTCAATTAAAAAATCATCTTTAAAAGTTGGAAAAAATTTTGGCTCTCATGTTTTTGGATAAAATTTCGATTTTATCTTTTTTTGATGTTTTAAATATATTTTTGTTTTTTGAAAAATACATAAAAAAAACGAACAATTTAAAAAAAAAGTTGAATATTCAATTTTATAAAAAATTTATAAATTTTTTGAAAATTTGTTAAAATTGTAATAATCAACTTGTTTTTTTTAAATTGTTCATTTTTAATATATTTTTCAAAAAAAAAAAATATATTGTTAAAATCAAATAGAAATTTCGTTCAAAAAAATGAAAATTAAAATCATTGACCCCACTTATAAATATTTACCCAAAAAAGTTTTAAATATTTAACATAAAATTTGTTTGACGCGACGCAAAATTTTTTATCGTATTTAGACAAACTTTATAAGTAAAAAATTACTTACATTCTAAATTTTAATTAAATTGCTCTATAATTTAAAACCGACTTGCCAAGTATAAAAAATTCAATTAAATATAATGGGCCTACTTTAGAGTAGTTCGCTATATTCTTCAGCATTACAATTGTAAGATTAAATTCATAGAATTCTCAATGAACAACTGACTATTATTGACAACCCAACAATAGAATTATATAACTTTAGAATACCTGGTACATTAAAACTATTAGAACCAGGAGGTCCTTAGGTTTGGTCAGGTGAGACAAATTCTTTTTATTCTGCATTCTTGCAGTGTATTCAGATAATTATTGTATAGAAAAATGTTCTATTGTAAATATTTAATAAAAAAAAAAAATATTTAGCAATATTAGAAATCTTATATTATGTTACCGCCTATTGAAAGGACACCTTGCCCACTGCTTATTTGTCAAACACTATACTTGGCATAATGATGATTAAACGAATATAAAAGGATGACATTGTTTAATTATAATTTTGGATAGCGCTATTGTAATAAAATTAAGGATCGTTAAATATCGTGATTGAGGCCACCATTTCCGAGAGCGATAAAGGAATCAGAGTCAATTCCGTCGCGTGCCACGTCCCATTCGAATTGAATATATTGATGACCTTATCGTCGGTATGTGGAATAATGAAATATACGTTTGGTCGCTGTTCTTATAAGGATAAAGTATAATGTGGAGTTTATCTATAGTGAAAAAATATTTAACAACAGTTTTGTAAAATCGTGACTCTCATCTCTCAATCTCTTGTTTTATTTTTCCTCTTTCTACAAAACCTCACTCTGTAACAGCACTGTGTCAGCAGAGTCTCACTTGTTCCACTTTTGTTGCGTCTTATTCCAACATACACTACACTTGTATTATACCTCGTTTTTAATATCATCAACACATACTCCTATACTTAAGTTGTAGTTGGAAAATAGAAATCGCGGTTTAATAGATGCATCATTCAAGTGTATATAACACTTTTACATTACAATCTCTACTTAATAATTTTTTTTTCCTCAATTATAAATTTATTATTATTTTCCGTGTTGAGGAATTCTTTCAGAACTATCCACTCAAATTTTTAGACTAAGAAAAAATAGCTCATTTGCATAGAAAGAGATTTAGTGTAAAAGATTTTAATTTATTTCAAGTTTTTATTAATTTTTTTTTTTTATTTTTTTTTTTTTAATTTGTTTAAAGTCGCATAAACTACTAAGGTCATGAGCGACTACGGTAGGGGGTAAACTTTTGAGATTGGAATTCGTTTGTATTTCTTGGGCTGAGCAGAATAATACACTTAAATATTGAAAATATTCATTTGGTGTACGCCGGATTCGAACCCGGTCCAATGCTTTGGTAGCAAGGGCCGGATCCGATAGGCTACTGCGCGCCTTATTAATTTTTGAGGTTTTTAAATCAATAGAAAAATTATTTGGTAATTATTTACACTTGTTCAACCCCATTTTGGGCCATAGTTAGGTGGCAATTTTTTTTTTATTCTGCTTGTTTTTACAGCGCATTTATAATAGAAAATGTCGTGAAAGAAAAAAAATAAAGATTTCGATAGCTTTTTTGTCTTTAAAAGTTGGAAAAAATTTCTATTTTATCTTTTTTTGATGTATTTTTTTTTTAAGTACTTTTGTTTTCAAAAATTTCTTTTATTCATTTTTCAAGAGTACATGTGTAATTTGTTAGTTGATAAGAATTACAGTGTTCCCATTTTTATAGATAAAAAATTTTACACTTTTGGTTTATAATGTTATAATTTAAAAAATTTATGTTTTGTTATTTTATGTTCTTAAATTTGTTTGTTGTAAAAAAAGTAAAAAAAATTTGTGAAAAACCTCATTAATTTCTTGTTTTTTTTTTTTTTTAAATACATAAAAAACAAATCAAAATGAAGTCAGCCGACATTTCAAAATTTTTAGAAATTTTTTATTGAAAAAATTTCAATTAAAAATTAAAAAAAAAAAAAATTTCACCTGTAAAAAATTTGAAAAACTATAAGTGCAATTTTTTATAAGTATCTTTTTAGGTGTAATTTAATTAATAAAAAAAAATCAAAAATTTTTAGACGTCTGCTAACTTCAGTGTCATTTTATTTTTATAAATTTACTCTAATTTTATTTATGTAATATGAAATCTTAATTAATAATAGATGTCGTCAGTATTGAGAAGACCGGCGAATACTTCAGATTGATCTACGACGTGAAAGGACGTTTCGCAGTCCACAGAATCACCGCCGAGGAAGCGAAATACAAATTATGCAAAGTCCGTAAAGTTCAGACCGGACCTAAGGGTATTCCATTCTTGGTAACCCACGACGGGCGTACCATCCGTTATCCCGACCCTGTAATAAAAGTAAACGACACAATTCAATTGGAGATCGCTTCGTCTAAAATACTTGACTCAATTCGATTTGAACCCGGTAACTTGTGTATGATTACTGGCGGAAGAAATTTAGGGCGTGTTGGTACTGTCGTAAATCGTGAACGTCATCCAGGTTCTTTCGACATTTGTCACATTAAAGATGCCCAAGGACATACTTTTGCTACTCGGTACGTAATTTTATATTCTTGTATTTATACTAATACCAGTACTTACTGGTATTTTAAATTACATGTAAAATGAAACATGCTATTTATCTTGGTATTGATTTATTCTTTCAGATTGAACAATGTTTTTATTATCGGAAAGGGAACAAAGGCCTACATAAGCTTGCCCCGAGGTAAAGGTATTAAGCTCTCAATCGCTGAAGAACGTGATAAGAGATTAGCGGCTAAAGGTGGCAACTAAATGTAGTGGTATGGGAGAAATTTTTTTTTTTTAAATAAATCAACCACCATCTACTGAAATTTATTGTCTTTTTTTCCATTTTTTTTATTCATTATATTTTTATTTTACAATTTCTACAAAAAATTGATATTTTCATCTAGTAGAATAACTTAGTGCATTTAAGATAGAATATAAGTAAATAATTAATTAGATATATATATATTATAATATAAAAAAGACGATAGTAAATGGCAGTACGAGGAATTGTGGAATTATTTATTGGGAAGCCAAATTTCTGAAGTCAACTCTAATTCTTGACGCAAAAGCTGATTGCATCTTTCGTCTCCATACTTACCAAAATCTCGATTAATATCTTTAGCTACTTTAATAAATCTGTTGGTAATTAAAATAATCATGATCTATTTAAATAAATTTCAGATAAAAATATTTAAAATAAAATAATTACTTTTGAACAGATAAAACATTATTTTTTATCTCTCGTTCCGTAGTCTTGGTTTCTCTTGTGTTGATTGGATGCTGGAAATCAACATTGTCGACTAGTTTACAATTAGTAAAAGGGTATGTACGGATCCACCCACCCTCACGGATCTTTGGGTTGCTCCAGTCTCGTCCATTATCCCAGACAAATGTACCAGGATGATTGTTACTTAACTTGTGAGCTGAGTTCAACCGTTGGCGAAGACTTTTTTCGAGGCAAAGGAAGTTGTACCTTGAGCATGAGTTTCCGTAATTTTCATCTGCGTTTGAGTGTCTGAACTGCAAAAATTAATTATTATTATTTCAGTCCAAAAAATTTGAAAAACTATAAGTGCAATTTTTTATAAGTATCTTTTTAGGTGTAATTTAATTAATAAAAAAAAATCAAAAATTTTTAGACGTCTGCTAACTTCAGTATCATAAAAACAAACAAAAAAAAAAAATTGATCAGTTTGATGAAAAAAAAAAAAAAAAAATTTTTTTTTAATAATTTTTTTTTAATCGAAAAGCTATAATCTCCGTTCAATAATTAATTTTTTTACTAAGAACATATAGCACAGGGAATATTTAAATTTTGAACAAAATACTGAGACGCTTTTTGACCAAGTAATTATTGAATAAAAAATCATGAAACTTTGCAGAAATATATAAATAATAGTCCTTCGCAAATTGATTCATTTAATTTTAAATTTAATTGTTGAAAAAAAAAATAACAAAATAAATAAATAGGTATCAAAACTATCAAGGTATTAAATAGGTATTAAGAGTATCAAAAAAACATTTAAAAAATAAAATTTTTACTCTAACATTTTCTAAAACTTTTTTTTATAATCTAAAAAGTAGCAAAAATTCGAAAATTTTTATTTCAAAATTAGTTGCTAATATTTTGACTAAAAATTGCCGTGTATATTAATTTAAAAAATAAAATAAATTTTTGGACGAAAAATATATGTTTAAAAATTGTAAAGCGCTCCATTAGAATAAAAGTCTTCCAGCGAATTTTTTTTTTCCTATCAGAGAATTAATTTATTAATTAGCCAATTAATTGCCTGAGAAAACAGAATATTCTTAAATTTTTAAAGAAATATTTTCCTTCAATAGAAATTAGCATAATTCTATGTAATTTTAAAAATTTTTTTAAAAATAATAACCACGTCAGTTGTAAACTCTCAATCTTACCAGAGTGTCGCAAACAACTCAAGAAACTAAAAAACATCTTGTCATACGGTGAGAACAAAATTAACAGAAATGAGAGCGACCTCGTACAAGTCATTCATTGAATTATGCAGTCTACTACATAATTCTTTTTGTTATACAGTTCTGACATTATTAAATGCATAATATTGCGTTATTGAGCGAAGAATAGGGAAATGAATAAAAAAAGAGAAACCGAGAGGCTTTTTGAAAAAAAATTAATCAAAAACATTTAGCTGAAAATCGAACTAACGATTGCTTAATAAATGCATTCTACACAGTTCACGGCTTTCTGCATAAGTATGAAGTTCCGCTTTTAATCGCGCTATACGACAGTAAATAAGAGTGTATAAGTAGCTGGTTGCTAGTTGCCACAATGGAATATTCTGGGATGAATGAAGTATTTCAACATATTTCATATTCTGCGTTACCGGATAGGAGGATCGCGACAGTAGCATCGATTCTTCTAAATTTACATTCAGTAATGCTTGAGTAACTCTAACTAGTAACACCGTTTATCCTGCAAGTGTTGTCATTAAATCTTTTATGTAATTATTTTATTTATAATTTAAATTCTATGAGAAAAAAGTTAATCAAAACAGCTCATGATCACGTTACATTATAAATAACATACATAATTACTTAAACTATATACTTTTTTTATCATGCAATGTCCTCCGGCTAAGCATCTCGAGGCAAAACTTACAGTGAAAGGAGTATATATTAGTATGATACTCAACAACACACAGTCCATTGTCTTTAGAAATATTTTTATGTCTAACTTAAGTATTGTATGAATTTTATTTTTCGATTTATTTATGTAGGCTTAACTCCGACTATAATAGACATTTTTTATACAAATATTTTTTTAAATAATTATTTACAAGTAGTGTTGATAATAAATCAGAATTAATCATGTTTTAATAGGTTTTTTTTTTCACTTAAAAATTTTTACTTTGAATATTTCACTTAAATAAATTTTTTACCGAAAAGATTTTTTTTTCAAGTCAAAGCAGAAAAATTGAAGCTCATTAAAAATAAGTATTTTACTTTAAAATTATTTAAGTCAAGGTTTTTTTCTTAAATCAAGTTTATTTTTTTTTTTTCAGTACATGAAAATTGTATTCAAAAAAAAAATGATAAAAAATCACATTATCCATGAAATTAATTTCTATAATTCATTGAGAATATAATGAAATTTATTTTAAATTAATGTTCATCGTTAATAAAGGCCAGTAACTGATTACAATAGTTTAATTGGAAATTTAATCAGGTATCAAATTAGTAACTGACATTTATCTATTTTATGCACTGGTTCTATCTTTGTCATGTGTCATGTGCATAATTTTATTTTTTATAATTCTTATTATATTACTATATATGTTATTGTAAAGTGACACTTTCTCATGGTTGCAAATTACTTACACAAGCGGATAAGCAACTCGTGCAAAAACAATTCTGATTCGAAATTAATTTAAGATTGAAATACATATTTTGACACAAATATAAATTAGTTTTGAGATTAATTCAAATTTGAAATTAATTTGTAGATAGAAATTAGCACGGCTGTAGAACTTTCAATCCTGCTTCAGAATTTTATTTATTTATTTATTTATTTATTTACACTTAGGCCCAACAGCTATTGGTATTAACAGGGCCACTAAAAATAATTGTAATTACAGTGAGTTTTACAAAATAGAGACACATTACATAAAGACACATTTTAATAATAAAGACTTAAGAATATTTGAGGAGCTGATTTTCAAAAGGTATCTTTTCATATTTTAAAAGAGCAGTTTTTTGAACTTTTAAATATTAATCACTTCGAGAATTATAAAGATTTCTAAATGAAAATTTTAATGTAAATTCATAACCAGTAGCACTTTATAGCAAAATTAAAAAAGTTCAATAATAAATATTTATAATTGATAATAACCAGTTTTTTATCTCGATTAATCAAAAATGAAAAGATACCCTTTTGAAACCCAACTCCTGATTTAGGATAAATTTTATATATGAAATATTCTTAAGTCTTTATTAAAATTCTGAATCAGAATCGAGAGTTCTACAGGTGTGCTTATTTTTTATCTAAAAATCAATTTCAAATTTGGATTGATCTCAAAACTAATTCATATTTGTTAATTATGTGCAATTGCTACAAATTTTATAATTATTATTTTTTTTTCTTTTTAATTTTATCAATTAATATTATTTTTTGTTATGGTTTGCAATCGCTAACACATCAATGGTCTACTCATTTAACAATCTATCTATTAAATTTATAATTAATATTAATATTTATAATTAATATTAATATTATTATTCTGTTAAATATGAAATCACTATACTAGCTATAAGTCATCTTGTTATAAATCAAAATTTTTTTTTGTTTTTATATACTGTTGTATTATTAACCCTGTTAATGGCCCCTAGGCTGTTGGGTTTGTTTATTTAAATAAATAAATAAATAAATATTTGTATCAAAACATGAACTTCAATCTTAAATTCATTTTGAATCTTTTTTTTTTTCACGGGAACATTTGGATAAAATATAATACTCTTCAAAATATGTCTAATCAACTTATTTTTTATCAAATTATAGCAAATATAATCCACCTTTTTTATGTTCTAGAGTAACAATAACAAGGACCAAAAATTTTTTAAAAATTATCTACACTGTAAAAAACTATTTGTATCTATTTAAATTGCCAATAAAAGATTTTAAAATAAAACTTTCTGAATATTTTCTCGCTTCTAATTATTAAAAATAATAATTTAAAAAATAATACATAAAAAAATAAACAGTTTAATAAAAATCTTTAAAACTGAAATCCTCGAAAATATTATTATTATATTTATTTTAAATTCTACACTTATTTATTCCTGCAAAGTATTATACGCTTTAATAAAAAATTTTCTTCTATTATTTTACATTCGAAAATTCCACTACATGGCATGCAGTTATAATTATTGACATTTTTTTTTTATCAGTTTAAAGAATGTAAGGTTGTGAAATTCAATTGACATCTAGATACATGCGTATTGCAGTATAGACTCGTTAGATCTTGGAATTTGGGTAGATCGCTAAGAAAAATATTTTCTGTTAATTCTTACTTATTTAAAAGGTTTTAAATGTTTCTAAATTTTTCCGAGGAAAATAACACAAAATTATATTTTTGTATGTGATCTCACGATACTTGGATGCTGATTAAATATTTTTGGTAGATTAAATATTTTTAAAAAATTTTGCTATATTTCGACTATACTCGTCGAGCTGAGTCAGAAAATGCATATGGTTCAAAAGTTTATATATGTTTGTATATGTATCGGATATATAACGCGGCTTGTCACGACGATAGCGTCGCCAATTTACAACGGATCTCTACCAAACTCAACATACTTATTTTACATATAAATACTAAAGTCAAGTTCGAAGATGAGCTTAATCGGACAAGTAATTTAGAAATAGCAGGATTTCAAAATTTTGAAAATCATAAAAATTCATATTTCTTTACTTTCTTACTCGAATAACTTTTGAATGGGATAACCTATTCAAATTCTGTAAAATGCATCTGAAAGCTCTTTAAATAAGCTTCAATTTGAGTACCATATCATATATGTAGTCTCAAAATTATGTCCTATTCCGCTATGCCTATTATGAAATTTGCTATTGCACTGGTTTTAGTATTTTTCCGTCGATATATATTTTTGTCAATTGCAATGAAGTTAAAAGCTCTAGTTTTGTATACAATTCTCGTTATATTGCACGCCTCATAAGCGAAGCGTTGAGGTTGTGCTCTACTCTCGACATTTCAAAAAAAGCAGTTTTCTCGAAACTGAAATTGATTTTTTGTTATTTATATCGCACTTACAGGTTAATATGAGTACACTTATATCAAGTCGAATAATTTGTCAGGCACATAAAATATATTTCAATAACAAT